CAGGGGCCTGGCCTGGCTTCTGCTGGTACCATTGAGCATAATAGCTTCCTAAGCTGTCTCCCTGGCAGGTGATCCTGGCCGTCTGTCCCAAGGACACAGACACCGCAGGTGGCTGAGTCAGCGCAGAAGAGGCCACAGAACCTGCAAGAGAGGAAAGGAGAGTGAGGGTGAGGAAGAGGGCCTCATCCCTGCAGCCTCATGCCCCCTGCGGCAGCTCCTGTGCTGAGCTGAAGTTCTGGACCAGGCTGAGCTCTGGTCACTTTTCGGGCTGAGCCTGGGGGCAGCACCTGTGCAGAGAGTGAGGAGGGGGAGCAGGAGACGGGTCCAGGCCATTGTGGGGACGCCCCGAGCTCTGCCTCTGAGCTCACAGCTGGGGTGGGGCCTTTGGGCCTCTCTTATGCTCAGAAGGGGTGTCTTCATGCAAATCTCCTTCCTGCCACCTTTGGCCTTGTGACCGGCTCCCTGCTGAGCAGAGAACAGCTGGAATCCAAGGAGGAGTTAAACTGGAACCCGAGTTCCAGGCCTGAGCCCAGGTCCCCAGAACTCTCTTGGTGCTGAGTGAGAAAGGCTGCCCCTGCCCCAGCATGTGCACACACCTCTCAGTCCGCTCCTGGGCTCCCCTCTGGGCCTTGGGGACACACAGGCGTCCTCTCTGGGGATGAGGTTATTGTGTGGTGGGCTGGACAGTGCTGGAAGCTGGCACTGTGGGGACCACGGTCATGCTGCTGCGAGAGCCCAGAATTCCAGCAGCAGACACAGTGACACCGGTCAGGTACATCTGGCAGGGTTTTTATTATATTTCTTTAAAGTTTCTTAATTTTTATTTTTCGAAGTATAGTGGATTTACAATGTTGTTTTAGTTTTAGGTGCACAGCAAAGTGATTCAAATCAACATATACATTCTTTTTCATTTTATGCTTAAAAATAAAAGGAAAAATGTCTTCCTTATCTAGACCTAGGCCAGAATTCTTGGACTTGACAATACATGCATGATTTGTGAAAGGAAGAAGATAAATTGAAATACATTAAAATGAAAAGCATATGTTCTATAAAAGTCCTTTTTATGGAGTTGAAAAATCCAGTAAAGTGGGAGAAAATACTTTCCACTCACATATTCATCAAAAAACTTGTATATACATTAAAAAATGTGTCAAAACTAATCAATAAACAAAACAACTAAAATCCAAGTGGAATTTGGGAAATGATGTGAACAGACATTTTTTCGGGAATGTACAGATGTCAGGTGAGCACATGGGAAGATGGTCCCCGTGAGTCATTAGGGGAATGTCAATCACACCCTAAAGAGTTGCCGCTACACACCAGTCAGAATGGAGCAGATGGGCTAAAGTAAAAAACAGTGGCAAAACCAATGCTGGTTGTGCAGCAGAGGGACTGGTAGGACTATAAAGTGGTACAGCCACCCTAGAAAACAGCTTTGCAGCTACTATGAAACTAAACATGCAATTACTGTACAATCTAGGAATTGTACCCTTGGGATTTTATTTCAGAGAAATGAAGACTAATGCTCCCATAAACACCTACACACAAGTGTTCCCCGCTCCTGTCTTAGTCAGCTCAGGCAGCCATGGAAAAATACCACCCACATGTTGCTTAAACACCACAAATTTATTTTCCAAGGTTCTGGAGGTCAGAAGTCCATGATCAAGATGCCCTAATATTGTTTTTAGTGCAAGCTCTCTCCCGGCTCCCTGAAGGTGCTTTCTGGCTCTGTCCTTAGATGGTCTGTCTCAGTGGCTCACTCGGGGTTGGGGGTGTGTTTCTGGTCTCTTCTTATAAGGTCACTAATCCTATGTCCACAGGTGCGGACCAACCTGGGAGGAGATACCGTCCTCCACCCTGTTCATCAGTCACTTTCACAGACAGGTTGACAGTTCTCACCCAGACCCTGACCCTATTATGACCTTGACCAGAGAGATGCCCTCAAATGGGTGTCCATCTCTCTCTGATCGAGTCCATAAGGGCAGATCCCTCCCTGGTGGGTCGCCATCTAAGCACAGCATGGTATGGTCTCATCGTCTTCCCTTTTCCATCCTTGTCCTCACATCGTGCCGTCTGTCCCTCTGTGCGTCCGTCACAGGCTCCTGCTGTCTTCACTTCTTAGCAGCACAGGCCCCGGGGCGTGTGGATGTGGTGGGACCCGCATGGCGGTGGGTTTACTCACTGCCATCCTCCTGGCTCCCTTTCCTACAGTGTAAGGGGGACAGGACACTCCCCACTAGTGGGACCTGCAGGAGGCCTTGTTTGGGACAAAGTCACAGCAAACCCTTGGAGAGAACAACCCTTTCCGGGATGGGGTGACAGGAGAGGGCCCTGTGTCCCCTGTGAGTCCCGGCAGAGTCGGGGACAGAGGTCACTGCAGGACGGAGCTCTGATGTCCTGTCCAGTCCTGCCCCCGGCCCCCTGTCCATCCCTCTCCGGGAGACCAACCGCCTCCTCCCCTCCTGCCCCCGTGGAGTCCTCCAGGCCACGGGCAGCTCCTGGACTTTGCCTCTCAGGCCTCAGTCACTGGGGGTCCGACTGGGGTAAGGGGACCATATTCTCCAGCTCAGCATCCCCGTTCCCCATCCCTGCTGCTGTCCCAGTGGATGTGGTGCTGGCCGGTCCCTACAACGTCCTGTGGGTGAATGGGGAGCCATTCTTGGCACCAAAGCTGAGACCCTTCCCCAGCAGGAGAAGCCCGGCCGAGCTCCAAGTCTGTACTGCCACAGACACCCTTACCGCCTCATGACTCCCTAAGGACCCAGCTCTGCACCCACCATGGGGTCAAGGTTCCCATCCTCCCTCCCCAGATGCCCAGTGCTTCCTGCTGAGCCCTCAGTCCTGGCCAGGGGCCTGCTCTGCACCCGGGGCACCCAAGTCAGGACACTTGGTACCATGACCTGCATGTCGCCTCTGGACGCCAAGATCCATGTTCCTTCCCTGAGAGACTTGGAGTAGGGCCTGGGGGCTACTGGGGACAGGGTCATCTCAGCTCAGCCCTTTCCCAGTGTCCTGTTCTGCCCTGGGCTGGGCTGGTCTCTCCCAGCACTGCCCACACAGACCTGTGAGGAGGACCCAGAATCCCACCTCATCAAAACCACCTAAATTTTAATGTGTGTCTGCCTCTCCCTGGGGGTGACTCGGGGAGAGGTTGGGGGTGAGGGGTTTGCAAGGGGAAGACTCAAAGGTCAGGACTCCGGGGACAGACAGGGAGCAGCTCACCCTGGTGCGTGGGACGGAGGGCAAGGGAGGGAGGTTTTGGCCTCACTTCCCCTAGGTCTGTGTCACTGTGGCATCCAACTTGGCCGTCAGTGTTATAGCTGACACCACAGATATACTCAGTCTCGTCCTCAGACTGGATGTTGGCGATGGTCAGGTAGCGGTCAGCCCCAGAGCTGGAGCCTGAGAAGCGGTCGGGGATCCCATCCCCCTTGGTGACGCTTCCGTCACTGGTCAGCTTCATCAGATACCTAGGGGCCTGCCCTACTCTCTGTTGATACCACTCAATGTAGTACGTGCTGTGCTCACTGCTCAGGGTGCAGGTGAGCTTGGCCGAGCCTCCCAGGGAAGAAGATGCAGACGGGGTCTGGGTCAGCACAGGCACAGCACAGAGACCTGCAGACAGAAATGCAAGGGTTGGCTGACGGCACTGACACTGGGCAGGTGACCCTCAGGACTGTGCTGGAGGGAGGGGCTGGGAGGCCCCCGCGTCCCTGGGCCACTCTGACCTGTGTTGAACAGGAGGGGCAGGAGGTAGAAGGGCACCCAGGTCATGGTGGGAGGTCCTTCTGCGAGCTCTGCACTGAGGCTGCCCAGCTGGACTGGCCTCTCCAGGTCTCTGTCTTATCCTCTCCCCTTGCAGCTCGCAAAGGGAGGAGCAGTGAATGCAAATCTACTCCTCCCTCCCCATCCTGTGTCTCAGCTCCTGGCTGAGCCCTGAGCCCAGAGGCCTCACGCTGGGGACTCCCTGGGGACAGAAGAAGGGCCACGTGTGAGTTTCAGAGAGACATTTACTCTCCTCAAGAGAGGTATCTTCAAGGAAGCGTCAGTCATGCTCTTTTCACTTGGGCCCTCCCCAGGGGACATGGACTTATGAGGGTCCCAGCCAGGACCACAGTGCCCCTTGGTGCCCCCAGGATGGACGTCTTCCTACACATGTAGCTACTTTAATAGAATGACAACTTTTGAGCCCCCAGCATATGCCAGACCCTTGGTGAGTTTCCTGCAGCACCTCACCGGGCACCAAATAATCCCACAGCGCCCTCTGCTGAAGGCACAACCTCTCCCCAGTCTCAGGAGGAGGAGTAACCATTGGGAGGGTAAATGATTTTCCCAGATTCCCCCAGACAGGGATGCATGGGTCAAGATTCCATCCAAGGGACTGACTTCAGAGCCTGACGTTTCAGCCCCCTCCCCCCTCCCCCCTCAAAACCCCCCATAGTTTCCTCCATCCCGACTCCAGGCCCTCTGAGCCCCTCCTGTCACCACCCTCTGTTCTGTATTCAGGTGATCCATATCCAATGTCACTAAAATATTCCTTATGGTCCACCTTTCCATCTAGATCTATTCACAAAATATAACTTTATGACTTGTGGGGTTTATGGAAATGATCTCCCTACTGAAAGGGATGATGTGACACTATTTACTTAAAAATGTACAGACTATTGTCATTCATTTCACAGACTGTAATAAAAATGTGTTTAACGATTCAGAACCACCTTTAAAATTGTAGTTGTATTTACTATCTTGCCTTTGGGAAAGAAGTCACATGGATACATGTATTAAATCTCCTCATTTTGAGGTACCCTCAGTATCCCTGGTCTTGGTGGAAAATGGCTCAGCAGTTCCTCTCCAGCAAAGACTCTGGGCTTGGGACCCTCCGTCACCTCTTGGTGTGGTGAGTATGTACTACAGGCACGGTTACCCCAAGGAGACCTCATCCATCTCACCTGCTCTGTCCAACATGGTGGCCACAAGCCAAGGAGGCTTCTGAACATGCAATGTGGGTGGTCGCAGTGAGATGTGCTGTAGATCTGAAATACCCAGCACATTTCAAAGATTTAGGAGAGTGTAGTGTAGAATGTATCAATATTCTAATATTTAATTCATATTGAAATGATATTTTCAAGTAATTTAGTTACGCAAAACCTATTATGGAAACTAACTGCATCGGTTTCTCCTAATTTTTAAAAAGCGTTTACTGGATAATTGAAAATTACATATGTGGTTCAAATAGTGTAGGTAATGGATAGGGCAGCACTGCAAAGTCACAATGTCAGTCACTTGTGTCTGAAATAGGAGAGAGAACTACCTAGCACATTCAGGAAAGGCCACGTCTTAGCTTTGGAAGCACCATGAGAGGCCACAGGAAGGTGGGGAAGTCCAGGAACTCGGGTGGAGGGACCTCTTTGTTGCCGGGTCTGCCCCGTTCCAGTTCTGATTTGAAACAAGTTGCTCTGTCCTTCGTACCTCAGCTTCCGCATCTGTAAGATGGAATATAATGGGGATGCTTGTTCATTGATTATTTGTGATTAAACACGTTAATAAGTAGGAAGAATGTGGATGGGTCTTGATATGTATTAAGCACACATGAATATTTACTCCTCTTCCATCTGTGAATATCCTTAAGCCTTACCCATACACTTAATAGAAAGCAGAGACGGTGGAATCGTGGTTGTAGGAATGGGATGGATGGGAAAAGTCTTGGGTTTGGGATTTGCCACTGACAAAATTTTCTGGCCACACCAAAATACACAAACATATTGTAGGACCTCTAACAATTGCCTGTTGAAGTCCTAACCACCAGTGCCCAAGAGTGGGACCTTATTTGGAAATAGGGCCCATTCAGATGTAATTACTTAAGGTGAGTTCATACTGGATTGAGGGGCCCCTAAACCCATTCAGTGTGCCCACCAGGTCTCAGGAGCTCTGTTCCAGGTCACCATGGACACCCTCAGCCCCTCCTGCTGGCCTCCTTAGTCTTTCTAAGGCCACTTGGGTCTGGAGCTTAACTGTCCTAAACTCATCAAACTGAGCTTGTGTCAGGCTCTAGACCCTGGAACGATGGGCAAAATTTGTTAAGAGGAGACTTTTTCTCAGGCCACATGGGTGGGTTTGGGGCAGGGGATGACATCTCTCATCATTTTTCTTTGGTGGGTCTGTGTTTGATTTCGACTAGTTTCTACTGCTATTTCATCAAGTTCAGTGATCTTCTTCTGCAGCATCTATGTGCTCTCAGTCTCATCCAGTTTATTTTAATCTCAGATGTGTAGTTTTCATTTGCAGAAATGCAATGTGGATCATGTTTTTACACCCTGTGTCTCCGTTTAACATGTTCAATCTTTCCTCAAGCTCAGGAACAAATGGACTATAACTATAGAAGTTGCTTTTGTGTCCTTGTCTATCAAATACATCATCTGGGCCATTCAGGGCAAGTTCGGATTAACTGATTTTTGTACTTATTCTGACTCTTAGTTTTCTGATTCCTTACAGGAAATGTTTGATATTCAGGTATTGTGAATCTTTCCTTGCTGGGTATGGGATATTTTGTTTCTCCCTATGTTCTTTCTTTCTTATTGTTTTTAGTTTCAACAAAGGTACTTGGTCACAGTTAAATCCTTTCTGTACTTGCTTTTACACTTTCTTACATGGCACCAGGGGACACGACCTTGGGGGGACTGTCTCTACAACGACAGCCCTCCCCAGGGAGGGCACAGCTGGGAGCTGCCAGGGGCTCCAACATGGGTGTGAGGCAGATGAGCCCAGAGGAGGGACGTGGCGGCCCCCACTCTGTCCACTCTGCTGCTTTGCCTCGTTTGGAGTCCCAGGTTGTCACGGGATCCTGGAGGTTCCAGAGCTCTGACGAGCTGGGTGGTTCTGGGCATCCATCCAAGAGATTTGGGCTGATGAGTGGCCAGTCAGCACCATGTGGACATCCAGGGTCCACTAGCACTGGGTCTCTGCCCTCGCTGTCTGTCCTTCATTCAGGCCTTATTTCCTCAAGTCAACACCACAGCCCAGACGCTGAGCCAGCCTGGTCCTGCCAGTGCATAATCACTCCTGAGGCCCCTGTGCAGAGCCTGCCTGGAGGGCTGGGAGGAGGGGCAGCCTAGGCGTCTCAGAACTTGAGGGACAAGGTCAGACCTGTCACTGTTTTTCCACAGTCTTCCTGGGGCTGGAGGAGAGTGTGAGCCAGACACAGAGGGGGTTTGTGTCTCACTTCCCTGTCTGCCTGTGTCACTGTGAACATAATCACTGCTGTCAGCTGACCCACAGTAATAGTCAGCCTCGTCCTCAGCCTGGGCCCTGCTGATGGTCAGGGTGGCAATTTTGCCTGAGCTGGAACCAGAGAATCGGTCTGGGATCCCTGAGGGCCGCTTGCTGTCCTCATAAATGACCAGCACAGGGGCCTGGCCTGGCTTCTGCTGGTGCCAATATGTATATTTTTTGTCCAGTAGGTCTCCAGAGCAGGTGATCTTGGACGTCTGTCCCAAGGCCACGGACACTAATGGCGGCTGGGTCAGCTCATAGGAGGCCACGGAGCCTGTAAGAGAGGATGGGAGAGGGGTTGAGAATGAAGGATCCATTCGCAGGGAGGGGTCCCACTCTGAGGTTGTGCCTGGGCTGAACTCTGGGTTTGAGGCAGGCCCAGCCCAGGGTTCTGGGGGGCCTGAGCCTGTGGGCAGGGCCGGAAGGCAGCACCTGTGCAGAGGATGAAGAGGGGGAACAGGAGAGGGGTCCAGGCCATGGTGTGGACGCCCTGAGCTCTGCCTCCGAGACACCACAGCAGCTCTGGGTTCTACTCATATCCTTTTATTCCCTCTCAGAGCTTTGAGGGGGGCAGTGAGGGTTTGGGTTTATGCAAATTTACACCCCCCTGGGGCTCCTTACTGAGATGGGAGTCACCCAAACCATCAGCCCAGGTGACTGTCACCCAGCTTCCTCCACGGCTTCGCATGTCCAAAAACTCAGACTTGGCCTCCAAGGTCTGAGGTCACAGTCACCCTCCTTATGTCTGACCACATGACCGCTGTTGGAAACCATCCAGTGGTCTCTCCTGGGCTGGCCCAGTGGGGCTGTCAGCCTGGCAGCATCCTGGCCGTGGCCACTGTGCCCCTTTCACTGGGTGTCCTGGGGTTCACTGTGAATGAGACCCTTTAATATGGTTACTATGTCCTGAGCGGATGGCACAGTCAGTCCCAACTTCCTGCCGAGCACTGAACCTTGGACACCGGTGGACCCTGAGGGCTGGTTCCCTCTGGGGCTCCACTTGGGCAGCCCCACCCTCTGTCCTGATGCTCTTGGCTGTGCTCTGCTTCCCCCTGCTGTGGAGTAGAATCAGACCGGGGCTCCTCTCCCTCAGGTCACCCCAAAAACCACCTGAGAGAGTGTGGACCAGGGAGTCCAGCCCTGACTCTGAGCAGCTGTGACCCCTGCCCTGCCCGGCCCAGCACGGAGAGGTCACCTACACAGTGCAATTGTTATTCCTGTAACCATGTCTCAGGGTAGAAATGCCCTTCCTGTCCCTTTGGTTTTGTTAGTAGAGTAGAGTGTACAGGATGAACTGTAGCTGCAAAGTGTCAAGTTCCATAGCAACGTGTGTAATCCCCTCAGGACCCAAGGTTCCTTGTATTTGGGAACCAAGGTTGATACTATCTCCTCCCCAGGAGGTCAGTTGAGTGATGATGTTCCTGGCACTTGAGGTCATTTAAGCCCTTACATCATCATCATCATCATCATCATTATCACCACCATCATCATCATCATCATTATCACCGCCATCATCATCATCATCTTCATCACCATCATCATTACCATCATCACCATCATCTCCATCA